TTCTCTGTGCTACCACATTACACATTCTATAGGAAGGTCAGCTAAATAAACTACTGGGCACATACACAGAAAATGTTGGTCTATGTTCAGCCTGTATAAAGAATCATAGTTTTAGTCATCAATTACTTACATAGGATGCCTAATTCCTCTATTAATTTATAACCTTTAAAAGACAGGTTATTGCATCTGTGATCTTCATATTAGCTATCATCATTAACCCAATAAACTCAATAAGCAAAGAACAATCACAAAAATGTTTATTCATTAGCCTCCCTCATCAGAGGGAGGACTATTATCTATTTCACTTCTGAGAACTAGAAATCCACAGAGTGCTAATAAACCCAGGTCTAATTCATGATAAAACACAAAACTGGTGCCACTCTCAGTTGTCTATCAAAAAACATCTGTTAACCTAAACATACCATTAATTATTGGGTTGTTAGAAAAGTCACGACATATATTTTGACATTATTTTGTTGCAAAAATGTCTCATGGCTTTCCTGACAACCCAATCATGTAATCAATCATAGTAGCTGAACAAAGATTTAACCAAAACCTAACTATGTAAAAAATCATAATTTAGTCATCAATTGCTTACATAGGATGCTTAACACCTATATTAATTTATAACCCTGCCATAATAAGCCTAAACTTAATTTATCTCATATTACACATCTATATTAATTATATACAATCATCCATCACAATACCATCCCTTTCATATATATGAAACAAAACACCTCTTCCTATCACCCCCAAACTAACCATCACTAGGAGACCTATCTCCACTATCAGGATGCTTATTTACCCAAATGAAAACTTCTAGAACAAAAATTGACAATATATTTTACCAACATTTGCAAACATAGCACTGCTTGGTCCTCCCTCAGAACATTGAGAATCTAAAGCCGCCTCCACATGAGTTCGATTCCCGCCTGCCCCGGAGGTGACCACATGGTGTGGCAGACCTCTCCTGGCCTGCCTGCTGCTCCCCTCAGCAGTGTACTTCGTCGATCTGCCTGTTCTGTTCCCCACTGTTTCTGGTGAAGCCTCTCACCACCCCTGAGCCTCTAGCCTGTACCCCAGTTCTGTATGCACAAATAAATTAAAAAACAAACAAACAAAAAACAAACAAAAAAAACACAGCACTGCTCAACTTCTATTTTTACATACATAATTACTCAACTTCATTAACCACATTCCAAAACAAAAATGACAATTAGAGAATACAAAATGAATAGTTTTCTTATCATTAAGCATAATATCAACATTACTCTTTCCATTAATACCAAAATATTAGAGTAGGAATGAATTCAAGTTAATAAAGAATAAGATCCTCAGAAAGGATAAATAGATGGGACTACATCAAGTTAAGAGCTTCTGTATGGCAAAAGAGATTATTAGGAAAACCAGACATCCTTCTGACTGGAAAAAAATTTTCCTACACAAAACTAGCGATAAAGAATTGATCACAAAGTATAAAAAGAACTGATGAAACTCAACAAAAATAAACAACTTCATCAAAAAATGGGCAGAAAAGCTAAAAAGACTTCTCCAAAGAGGAACTGCAAATGGCCAACAAGCATATGAAAAAATGTTCAACATCACTTATAATAAGGGAGATGCAAATTAAAACCACAATGAGATACCACCTCACCCCAGTGAGAATCGCACATCTTCAAACAACTAGCAACAACAAATGTTGGTGAGGATGTGGAGAAAAAGGAACTCTCCTGCACTGCTGGTGGGAATGCAAACTAGTACAACCACTATGGAAAACTGTTTGGAGGTTCCTCAAACTGCTAAACATGGAGCTTCCCTACGACCCAGCAATCCCACTCCTAGGTATCTACCCAAAAGACAAAAAACAATGATTCAAAAAGACACCTGCACCTCCAGGTTTATTACTGCTTTATTTACAATTGGAAAGACATAGAAGCAGCCCAAATGCCCAAAAGTAGATGACTGGATTAAAAAGGTGTGGTATATATACACAATGGAATATTACTCAGCAACCAAAAAAAACGAAACACATGCGTTTTGCAGCAACATGGATGGAGCCAGAAAGAAAAGGAAAAATACCTGATGGTTTCACACACAGCACTAGTATAAAGGACCAGGCAAGAAAATAATAATGAACAACTATATAACAGAGACATTTTACGGGGTAGAATGTGGAATGGGATCAAAAATGGTGGGAGAGAGAAGGGACTATGGTTATGGCAGACGGGTGATTTGATGATGGGAAGTCCATGGGAATTACAACATGGATACAACATGGATACAAAATGATGTAAAAACAAACTATTACTAAAAAAAAAAAGATCCTTCGAAGTCCTAAGCAAGTACAATTTAATTCGTGAAACTAAAGATTTCAAGACCTGTACCAACAAATGCAGTACCTTACATAAGAAATTTTTCATATAAACCATGCATATAAAATTTTCATGAGTGAACTTATAAATACAATTTACTGATTATAAAGAACGCTAGTCCTGCCACGTAACACCCAATTGCGATTTTCAGTGACTTGTCCCTACTTTATCTGTAAAATGCAACTAAAAGTCAATACATTACACAAGGTTGTGAGGATCAAATAATGTCAAAGTATTAATAAATGGTAAAGCAACATTTACATTTGCTTATAATACATAATCTTATATCTAGACTGCATATACAATATATGTTTTCTTGTAGCTCTTACCTCTAATTCTGGTCTTTTAACATCACAGAATACATCTGTTAACATCACAGAATACAGCTATTCCTGCTCTTAATATATGCATTCTTTCTATGCACAACTTCTTTTAAGTAAATATTCCTATTTTCTACAACGGTTTTCCTATCTTGTTGGAGGTAAGAAAAACAAATTCTTTCCCAACTCAAATATGCTATATCTCTTTTGATTCTTCCACTGTTGAAAGTAACTTCTCTCCTGCATCTCTTTTAATTTTACCAGCACTTTATCTGGGCTGCTAGCAGGGAGATAATGTATAATGAAAATGAGATGAACTCGGGCTTTAAAGGAGATTAAAAAGGGTTTAAATTTTAGTTCTAACTCAAGGTATTACTGTGAATGAGTTTTCAAATGATTCATTTTCTTCATTTCTAAAATGGAGTTATTAACCAATTTTCAGTAAGGCTGCTGGGACTAAGTAAGGTGACATAGGTATAATGCCTAGCACATAGCAAAATTAAGAATACATGTTTGTTTTTCCCACTTCTCACTTCCTATTTAAAAAAGGTTTTGTCTTGCCATTCCTGACCACATCACTTCCTTTTTTAAATGATAATTTGTGTATGTCTTATAGAATACGTGTTCCTGAAAGGTAAAATTATGCTAACATTCCTCTTTTCCCTCCTCCACAATAGCTACTCCAAGGGCTAAAATTAATGGTATTGGTAGCATGAATGTAATATGCCCCCTTTGCTTCTCTCCCACCATGGCTATTTACTCTGGGTATTCTGTTCTGTCAAGCTCTAAATTTCTTTAAAGTTCAACATAAAATTGGTTTACTACTTAACTGCATGATTATAAAATACCCTCATCATAAGCTGATGAAAAAAAAAAGAGTACCACATTAGAAGATTCAGCAGACTCTCACTAAGGCCTTGTAAAAAGTCCTACTTTGGCCCTTCCTGGTGGCAAGGCAGGTTAAAGCACAGCACTGAGAAGCTAAGGCCACTTCCTCATGAGTTCGATTCCCGCCTGCCCCGGAGGTGACCACATGGCGTGGCAGACCTCTCCTGACCCGCCCGCTGTTCCCCTCAGCAGTGTGCTTCATCCATCTGCCTGTTCTGCTCCCCACTCTGTCTCTGGTGAAGCCTCTCACCGCCCCTGAGCCTCTGGCCTGTACCCCTGTTCTGTATGCACAAATAAATAAATCTTAAAAAAAAAAAAACCAAAAAACCCCCCGAAAAACGCAGCATTAAGAAGCTCAAGCCACTTCTGCATGAGTTCAATCCCTGCCTGCCCCGGAGGTGACCACATGGCACGGCAGACCTCTCCTGACCCGCCCGCTGCTCCCCTCAGCAGTGTACTTCGTCTGTAGGCCTGTTCTGCTCTTCACTCTGTCTCTGGTGGCTCCTCCCACCTTCTGCATCTCTGGCCTGTACTTCAGCAGTTCTGTATGAATAAATAAATAAATCTTTAAAAAAAAAAAAAGTCCTACTTTATGCAGTAAGATGAAAAACTATGCTCATTAAACTTTGAATAGAGACTACTGCTCTTAACTTTGGCAGATTATAAATAACTAGTTAATAAAATGAATGTTAGCCTAATTTTAAAATCACTGTTAAAGCAACATCACAATACCATCAGGCTTTTAGCAAAAGAACAAAGGTAATTAATTTGTTTTTGTTTTTCTTTTAGGAGTAGTGATTTGCACTGTTAATCTCTGCAAGGCCAATGCATATTCACAAAATGGAAGATAACGGCTGGGACATGAGAACACAAACCAGACCACTGAACAGAGAAAATGAAATCACTAATTTGGATTTTATTACATGTATGTGGTGCATCTTTTAATGATTTATACCATATTCCTATTAGAGAATTCAGAAATAAAGACTTTTCATCTTACATACAGAAAGTCAATTCTGGCCCTCCCTGGTGGCACAGTGGGTTAAAGCACAGCACTAAGAAGTTAAAGCCACTTCAGCATGAGTTCGATCCCCGCCCCAGGAAGTGACCGCATGGCAGACCTCTCCTGACCTGCCTGAGCAGCTGCTCCCCTCAGCAGTGTACGTCATCAATCTGCCTGTTCTGCTCCCCACTCTGTCTCTGAGGAAGCCTCTCACCATCCCTGCACGTCTGGCCTGTACCCCAGTTCTGTATACATACATAAATAAATCTTTAAAAAAAAAAGTCAATTCTGATGTCTATAAGTCAGAGTATCTTTTTCCTCAAATAGTTTGATAATTACACTTCTGAACTTCTATAAAGATTCATAATAAAATTGCATAAACAAATTCAAGAAATTGACAACTTTAGAAATTACCTGTTTGCTTTTATTAACTTCATTTTGACATGTAGAATTCTCCTCAAGAATCATTCTGCAGTGCATTATTAAACTTTCTGTTTGTGATGTCGACAACGGATCCCAAATGAGTTCCACAAAGTCTGAAACAAAAATTTCAGTAGTGCACATTTACTACACTGCTTTTTGCCTATCACGCAGAAATAACCAAGAACTTTACCAAAAATTGCTTTCCTCCAATGCTCTTTAAAACCCATGACCAGTTAACATTGTGTATTTGCTTACATCTTCAATTTCCTTACCCTTTTGGGCTTTAAGTAACTTTCAACACAAGTTAAATCTATCTTGTCTACTGAGCCTGTGACCATGCTGGAAAAAAAGAAAACATGGCTGGAAAAAAAGAAATGCCCTTCAACTTCATTAACATGAAAGGGCTTTTGGCCAGTCTTCTCATTCCTTCTTGCTATCTTAGTGGACTTGACTCTTCTGACAACTTTCTTTCCTTTTCTTCTCCACTGCTTTCACTTTTAGCTAATTACTTCCAAAATTAATGAGAGATCTGAAGAGAAATTTCTACCACAGCATCAACACACCAAGTTACCTCTGTGCCTATTGTCTCCCATTCCTCTGTATGAAGACGCTAAGGCAACACTTTATTTTGTGCAAAAGATCCCAACCCCTTTGGCTTATTCTAGTATCTGTTCTGGAATTTTGCACTTTAATTATCACTTCTACTGGATCTCTCCCATGAACCTACAATTATTTCCTTGTATTAAAAATAATCCCTCTCGGTCCTCCCTGGTGGCGCAGCGGGTTAAAGCACTGCACTAAGAAGCTGAAACCACTTCCGCATGAGTTCGATTCCCGCCTGCCCCGGAGGTGACCACATGGTGTGGCAGAACTCTCCTGACCCACCCGCTGCTCCCCTCAGCAGCGTACTTCGTTGATCTGCCTGTTCTGCTCCCCACTCTTCCTCTGGTGAAGTCTTTCGCCACCCCTGAGTCTCTGGCCTGTACCCCAGTTCTGTGTGCACAAATAAATAAATCTTTAAAAAAAAAAAAAAAAATAATCCCTCTCAACCTTACTTCCCCTCTAGTACTGCACTCTTACTTTCTTTGATTTACAATAAAATTCTTCAAAAAATCATCTAATCTACAGTTTCCTCCAATTAACTTTTGGAATTCCACTCAATTAGGACTTACCTGAACTCCCAAACTACTCTTTATCAAATAACTGCTAACTTTCATGGTACAAAAGCTAATGAGTTGATTCTAGAACCTAACTGGTTTATCCAAAACAATTTACAACAGCTGATCATTCCACAGAAACAATGTCTTTACTTGGCTTCCAGATACATTTATTTTTCACCGACCTTTCTAGTCTTTGTTGACTACTTCTGTCGTATCTATATTTATACCTGTAGTATTTAAGGTAAGTTTTGTGGCTGAATCCAAATTTTTTTCCTACCTACAAGTATCCTTTAGACACACACATTCAAAGCTTAGTTGACATTTAAACTGACAGGCATCTCAATCTCAACATGTATCAAAATGAGCCTGATACATCTCCCTACACTAAACTTGCTCATCTTAGTCTTTTACTCTGCAACCAGTCCATTAGCAAATTCTGATAGTGCCACATCTGAAATATATATAGACTTCAATACTTTTCACCTTTAATTCTTTAGCTCACTACACTCTCACCTATTGCTTGTTTTACAAGGAAAGCTTCCTAAATGGTCTGCTTATGGTTCATTCTTAACACAACTAGAGTGATTCTGTCAAAATGTTAAGGCAAACCATGTCACTTTTCTGCTCATAATGCTCTATATCTTTTTTTTTCTTTTTTTTTTTTTTTTGCTGAAAGAAGTCCTTACAAATAAGGCCCCATGATATAGCCTTTATCATCTTGCTAACCTCATCTTACTCTATCCTTTGCTTATTTCACTATAGCTCACAGACCTATTTGCTGTTCTTCAAGAAAATCAGGTTGGCTCCTGCCTCAGGATCTTTGTACCTGCTATTCCCTTGGCCTTGGATGCTATTCCTCCAGAAAAATCACAGAACCTGCTTTATTTCCTTTGGAAACTGTTCCACTGTAACCTTATCAGGAAGGCCTTCCCTTCACCAAGTATCTTGAATCGCACCCTTCTTTAATAATTTGTAGTCCTTTCTCTTTGTTTTCCACCTTGGCTATTGTAACTAACAAATCTAGTTTTTATTTCTCTTGTTTATAAAAATAGACATCAGGACAAGAATTACGGGTTTGTTTAATGCCGTATACAACGAAGCAACAATAGTACCTGATACAGAATAGACCTTTGTAAAATGTTAAAAAAAAAAAGTACATAGCTTAAAAAAAGTCAAAAACAATGATTTCTCAAGTGACTAGAATGTTAGAATTCTAGTAATTCTAAAATATTCACTGAACACTGAGTGCCTATTCTGTTAACATTAAACATAGGAGAGACTAGGTACTTGCCTTTCAACAATTTTGTCTGATGGCAGATACAAACACTTATACAAGCAATTACAATTCAATGTGCAAGTGCCACCAATGAGCTGAGAGTGCTAAAGGAACTCAAGAGAGGTATGACTAAGCCAGTTCCTAGAAGAGATGTCTACACTGGGTCCTGAAAGATGATAAGTAATAAATCAGTTAGCTGGATAAAATAGGTGGGGCTGTGAGGTTTAATGGGTGGAGCACAAAAGATATAAAGGCTAGGAGAGTAACCTATGCAGTAGAGATGGGGATGACAGCAAGGGGTTGACAAGAAATGGGGCTAGAAAGTAATACTAAACAGATGTGATGTGGAATGCTCTGGAAGTCACATTAAAACCTTTTAAAATTTATCCTGAAGGAAGTTAAAAAATAACTGAATTATTTTAAGTGAGGCATGATCGATCCAGACCCCTACTTTAGGTTACTATAGTACAAAAATTGGTTTAGAAAAAGGAAAAATACTTGGCAGTTGCTTACATGAAAAGGTAGAAATTGGGGAGAGTGGATAATAAAATGCTCTGGTTTGAATACTTGGGTTAATAGAAATGCCATTTTCTAGATAAAAAGATAAAAGGAAAGTATAATTTTACACATGGAATTTCAATTTCCCATTGGTTATTCAATTCAATGAATTCAGAAGGTACGCTGATAGAGAAACATGGAGCTCTAAGAAATCTGAACTGGTTCTTCCATTTTTTTTTGGGGTTTAAAAATCTTATAGAAAGGCACTGTTCAACAGAATTTCATGTGATGATGGCTAAAAATCTTACATCTGTACTGATAGCCACAAGCTGCATCCAGCTACTGAGCATTTAAAATGAGACTAGTATGACTAAGGAATGAATTTTAAATTTACTTAATTGAAACACATTTTTAGCTACATATAATTGGTAGTTAGCATATTGAACTACACAACATAAATGGCACTAGGAGAGAATATTAAATTACCCAGGAAGGTTGTGAATAGTGGCTAGGACTTGAGAATAAACATACAGTATTAATTTCTCATACTACTTGAGACTAATTTTAAGTGAAGTATTTTGATTTTGCAGAAAAAGACTTAAGTGAGGTACACATACCTATATGTTATCATACTAACTTTATAGTGTATCTCATGATTGCACTGCAAGTTACACTGAGAAAATCTTCATAATTTAATCAAGCTGGCTGAGAGGCCAACCTGGTTACCTTTTAAAATAGAGTAGCTTTTAAAATAAAGAGTTCTGCACACTTTATGGTTATAATCCATTGTAACATGGTGAAACAAATCTTTATCAGTATAATTTCGGGTGAAAACAAGTTTTTAGACTGAAGCACAGCATAAATTTTAAGACCTTTTGAACACCAATGGCAAATGTAGGGAAAATGTAATGTTTTTGAAATAAAGAGTTTAAAAAAACTAAGGGGAGAAGCTAAGGAAAAGAAACACACATAGCATGGATGGGAATGGGTCATTAATAAATAGCTCAGATGTTATAAAAGCAATCTAATGTCACAAATGCTAAAAGGTTTGGAGTATCAAAGCCTGATAGCCAAAAGCATAAAAAAACATTTAACTAGCTTAAATTATGACAGTTACTGATTTTTATTGCTTATTTCATTTCTGTATTCAAAAACTTCTGGAAAAAAATTTATTATTATATTCTGCCAAAACCAACTTAATTTTATCATTTATTACAAAGCAGTACCTGTAAATCGAGGAATAACTGTTTTGCTGATAACAAGAGACAAGATTTTCTTATCAGAATTATCTTCCTTCTTTGAATTTTCCATACTTTTCTCCATAAATTTTTCTATAGATGTGAACCATGGCATCTGTTTTAAACCTATGGAATCAGACTTATAAATAAAATTATCAAGGATGTAAATAAATTCTTAGACACTTAGGGATAATATATATTTTAATCTCACTAGACCATCAATGGTAGGTAGGATGTTATGATTGACATGTGTCCAAAAAGTACAAGAAACTACTTTCTTGTCCTTCAATCATTCACACAACAAACATTCAAAAAATGTTGAATGTGTGTCAAGACCTTCAGGAATCTACCATACAGTAAGTGTTACAGCAAGTACAGAAGATAATTTGTATAACAGTATTTACAATAGCCATTAAATGTTTACAAAAATTCATCTACCTCACACAAAACTAATTATTGTTATCTCTCACTTCTCACAGACACAAAAGTTTATTTTGTGGCTTAACTTACTAGGCAAACTCCCTTAGGGCAAAGTACTCAATTCAGCTTGAGCAGTTAATAACTTGGCTGCTATCTGACTATGTACCACTTTCTTAGGGTTAAGTTTAGTTCACATACTTGGAGACTATTTGGTCCTGAGCCAAACAGAAGTCAATAGGCATGCATGACTTAAGGCAGTAAAGGAAAAAGGATATGGTTTCATCTCTCACTTTCTCAAATCTTTATCTTGAACTCTACTCTCTTCCCAGAACTACATTTTCTCATTTCCATTTATAGTGGAAACATTTCCATTGTTATTTTATTATCTACTAAGTACAATGTTCTTCAAACCTTGCTCTATCTGAAAAGACCCCTTCATATTAATGGAACTACCACTGTTGTAAAAGCACAGAATATACACTCTGAGGTCATCTCTGATTGTGGCATGTTAAAGAGTTTTTCTCAGCATTTTACCAATTGTTACATTAAAATGTCTCTTGCAATCAATCCTTTTCTTCTTTTCCCCTTGTCACTATTACCTTATTTGAAAAATTGATCACTTCAGATGTGAGCTATAGCAATTGCTTTCTAATATACTCTTTAACCTTTTACCTCTTTTCCCTCCAAGTTAGTCTGTATTTTGGCTTCCTAAAAGATTATTTTCACATATTATTCCTCCCATTATTTACCAAAACAAATTCATCTCTCTTATAGATCTAACCACGTGTACAGTCTCTAGCTTCTTTATTTCCCTGAACATTTCTATGAAATATCTCTCTAAATCCCAAGATTATAAAGTTTTTAGGGGTCAGTACTATCTTTAACTCTTGAGTGATCTTAAACTTACATGAAGTGGAAAAAGAAGTTCCTTTTACTGATGTTTGGTGCTACTGAACCTTAAAGATAAAGCAATAACTAAGGAAAAATAAATGTAAACTGCTACTTCAAAGTACTAACCTGACAACATGGTAATTTTAAGTAATAAATGTAACAAGATGAATTTTTTTTTCACATGTTTAACTTACATACCTTAAGAGGATTCCAGTCAATTAGCTGAACTCGAATTAGGGGATTTAAAAGCTTTGGTATACAGAAACTAATGAAAGCTTCATAATAAGAATCCGGAAATTTTTCTCGCCATTGCTGAAATTTCAACAATATATTCTGGATGTTACAAAAATCATCATGCACATCTTCAAATATCTTCTTATGATTCTGTAAAATATCACCTGTGGATAAAATGAGTGCATTTAAGTTTGTGAACTGTAAGTTTGTTATCATAAATACAATCATGTATGATGGTATGTGTCATCAATTGAGCTAAAAACTTTCTTATGGTATTTATTTAAAACAAATTTTGGCAGTAATAAAATATAGACATTAACAAAATCCACTGTTTATGGAGCTCCTGTCAAAACATTATAAGCACATGTCATTTCATCACCATAGCTATCTTTCCCAAGACAGGCATTACTAGCTTTATCATTTTATAGACAAAAACAAACGTACATTGGATTTAGTGATATCAAAGAATCTGCCTAAGATCACACAGAACAGAGCCCTTCTTTAATCCTACTGTAATTAGTTGTAAAGCCCATATTCCTCCAACTGCACTTATTTATCTTCTCATTATGCGGCTTTACTAAGTTCAAATTGATATATGAAAAGTGGTTCCATGGAACGTTTGTATTAAGCAAATGATGCAGGACTACTCAAAATACTCCTACTCCATTTTTTCAGAAGTAGGAAACAATCTTAAATGGGGAAAAAGGTGTTTCCTTATTCCTGAAATTTCCCAACTATTTGATACAGCTTATATATTTCACAGAAATCACAGAAAAACGTTTCTCATCATTTCATACTTCAAACCAAGACATAATAGAAACACAGTAACTGACCTTGGCTTTTCTGGAAGTTAGTCAAGTCTGCTGAAGATGATTCATCATCACTAGACATCCCTTCTTGATGCCCACAATTTCCAGAAAGTGTTCTTGCTTGTCTTCTTTGTGCTCTTTATGTTGTAATAAACCAAAAATAAATTAAAACTCCTGTTGAAAATAAATGCTTTAAAGTAAAAAAGACATTTAATTTATTTAAAGAAATCAGAACTATGCCATCCTTAATTATTTTTGCTTCATTAATCTGAATCTTTTTTTCTTAAAAAGCATTCCCAGGCCCTCCCTGGTGGCGCAGCGGGTTAAAGCACAGCACTAAGAAGCTAAAGCCACTTCCGCATGAGTTCAATTCCCGCCTGCCCCGGAGGTGACCACATGGCGTGGCAGACCTCTCCTGACCAGCCCGCTGCTCCCCTCAGCAGTGTACTTCATCAATCTGCCTGTTCTGCTCCCCACTCTGTCCCTGGTGAATCCTCTCACCCTCCGCATTTCTGGCCTGTACCCCAGTTCTGTATGAATAAATAAATAAATAAAAAAAAGCATTCCCAGCCCTCCCTGGTGGCACAGAGGGTTAGGACACAGCACTACAAGCCAGCTGCAGCTGCTTCAGTGTGAGTCCGATCCCCGCCTGCTGCGGAAGTGACCCACACGGCATGGCAGACCTCTCCTGACCCATCCGCTGCTCCCCTCAGCAGTGTACTTCATTGATCTGCCTGTTTGCTCTTAGCTCTGTCTCTGGTGAATCGTCTCACCGCCCCTGCACCTCTGGCCTGTTCCCCAGTTCTGTATACATAAATAAATAAATCTTAAAAAAAAAAAAAGCATTCCCATATAGACTAATCCACTTTTGAAGTAGTAACAATGTAATTAGGATTGGTTTATAGATATAAACAATTCTCAGCCTGATAAATGCCATTATACCACTCATTGTGACTATTCCAAACACTAGTGCTTCAAACTCTGGGATTAAGTGCTGCTTAACTAAATTTTGGCTTTACAACATTTTCACAAATTAATGTTAGACATGGTTAATTATACCATATGATTATATTTAAATAGTGAAAATACTTGCTCAATGATGCTTTAAGTTTCCACTTTATATAGCTACCTTCGAGATTCAATCTCTTCTATAATCGATTGAGTTTCTTCATCTGTAGCCAAGCTTCCATTTGTTGATGTCTCAGCTTTGCCTGTTAATGAATAAAACTGATTGCATACTGCACATTCACAAGACAAACATTTTGAAAGCAAAGTTATATCCTGGGTGTGCATATATAAGTACGCACACATATATTTGTATATTTTATTATGCAATGAAATTCCCAAGTTAGCTTGCCATCACAGTACTAATAGGCACTGAGTGTTAGCCTAGGAAAAAGTACCTTGGCTGGTGAATATTGTTCAGCACTGTGAATAATTACAAAACTCTATCATATAATTTATTTCTCCCATATTCTTTTTCAGCAGATCTTAGTTTTTTGTTTATTTTTTTTCCTGTTGCTATATAGCCAAATGCTAGAAATGTTTGCATTATCAATATACCATGCAATTTTTTGGTATGTAATTTATGAAAAGTGAATGTCATGTGTTTAAAAGTCGCTCAGCTTTTTACAGTCTAATCTCTTTCAATACTCCTGACAACACCTTAATCAAAGGAGGACATCTCAGTAAATATAAAACAAGCATGCAAACTAAAAGGTTAACACCCAAATTTTATATATAAAATCTTAGATAATTCTATACTGAAACACACTTGAATTGCTTTAAGCTCCACAAGCAGACTGTGGAAAAGTCATAGAAATTTTATTGTTAGAGCTACAGTTTATGTCAACTTATCTTAAAACAGTTATTAAATGGCCATATAAATTTGATTGAAATATTAATTAAAAAGTTATACATTTTATTTTTTGTCTTAGAACATTTTAAAATTCTAGCTTTAAATGTGTTGGGTTTTAGGAAGAACACAAGTGAAAGGCTAGTGGAAATATGAGCAAAAAAAAGCTTTTTTTACACAGGAATAAAAATATTCATCTGCTGATAATGTACCTTAATAATAAATCACATTGAACATGGAAAACACTAACGTGATAATTGTTGTAAATACGTTGATTCATGTTTTAATTCATCTCGTCTGCGTTTCATAAATGTCATAGCTTGTTTTAAAAGGAGTGACTGCATGGATGATTCTATTTCTTGGATGCTGATAATCTGAAATATATAATTAACATTTTGAGCATCATCAATAATGAATAATAAAAATATTCATGTATAAGCAAATGTGTGTGCTCAATTTTTATGTAAAGGAACGTCTTTAGTACTATCACATCTCAGTTAAAATACTTTGAAAAAAACTAATGAATTTGAGAAAGTAGAGAACAGAAAAAACTAGAGAGACAAAAATGAGTGATCAGCAGAGACTAAAAATCTTTTATTTCTTGGGCCCTCCCTTGTGGCGCAGCAGGTTAAAGCACAGCACTAGAAGGTAAAGCCACTTCAGCATGAGTTCGATCCCCGCCTGCCCCGGAGGTGGAGGTGACCACATGGCGCCGCAGACCTCTCCTGACCCGCCCGCTGCTCCCCTC